GCAGACTACAGCGCCACTTACAGGCCTGGCATATGTACTACAGCGTCTCCAGCGCTTTCGAGCGGCAATGGCCGTGGCCCCCATTCCCCTGATAGGTGTAGAGTTGCCCATATAGGCGGAGCACCCCTTTTCTGACGTTAGAAAAATTCAAATCTGTATCAGCTCCGTTGCAGCCCCGTTTTTAGAGATTTGGGTATGGAGGAAAAGAGAGAGGGTTGTGTTTTCTGACACTTGGTGAGTTCCCTGACACACCGGGAACACATTCATGTATAAAAGAGGTACAAAAGCGCATTTTGCATGATAGGTCCCCTTTAAGGAATCCCAATGTTGTTACAAATCATCATGAAGGAGTAATACATTACAACCTAATTGAATGGAAAGCAGGTTGAGATCTGGTGGACCTCTACCGACCAATTGAGCAATGAATGGCTGAAATAAATCTATTGTAACCACAGGCTTGTTTCTTCCTAGAAACATTTAACAGCAACCGTCGCAACCTTTGAAAGCTACAGGGGGTGAAATTACCAGCATCATTTCTGTTCATTTACTCCACACCCGCTCAGATACTGCTTTGATATAACGTTATCTGACAACGCAACCCAAACTTAAAATTCTACATGCAATAATTGTGAGGCTCAATTTTATCCCCATGCAAGTCATTATTCCATTTTCGCTCAGTTCCAACTGTAATCCTCACAGATTCACAGCTTTTAGCCTTTAACTACACCACAGAACACACTTGCTATCACACTGCCTACACTTCTCTGTCACAATGAGTAATTATATCGTATTGACATCAGCTTATGTGTGGGGGGTTCATGTGTGTCCATGCGTGTGTATGTGCGAGTGTGGGTATACAACAGTTAGCCCCTAAAAAATGATTTAATCCGGTTAAGGGGATTTTCAATTAATCCAGGAGGGCCCTACATTTTGACAGTGCGATATTTTTAGCACATTTTCCTTCTGATGCAACAGAATTTATTTTCCTCTGCAATTTTAAAGCCAATATGATTCACTGCTCTCACAGGAGTGACGGCAAATTTGTTTTCGCGTCAGTGCATGCTCTGAAAGCAAGCCAATGCTGGATATTTATGTAACTACGCATCTCTGTAACCATTATTTGTAAGATTTCTTTAACTGTGATTTCTATAGGCAGCTCCAAGTCAAAGAAGGACGTAAGCATTTATAGTTGTGGTTATGCTGATTATGAGTCATAATAACTCTGAAGAATAATATATATATATTGTAAATAACTTTATACGGTCATTATGAGTAGTTCCGTTATAATAGTGAATGGTGTAGTACTTTCCGGAACAGTAAGGAAACCAGGAGTGATCAGACTGTGGCCGCGTTACATTGTGTCTGTGGGTTTTAAGTTTATAATGATCATAGAAAAACTAACATGAAATTGGTTTTATCACGATATATTATTCACTCACTATCAAAAAGAAAGTATAACAAACTTCTCAGAAAAGGTCAGAAATGTGATAACATGCTGGCATGGCCTCTCTGATATACATCTAATCTGCTTAAATGACTGCAGGCATGACGCTGCACAGGCCAGATCAGTGGGTGGACGCACTAAGGAGGTTAGGACAGGAAGTAAGAGGGAGGGTGGGAACGATGGAGACGACAGAGAGGACAAATGTATTAGCAGAGTCGAGAGAAGGGAAAGACGTGGAAGTTATGGGGTACAATGCGAGATAATTGAGAAGTGAGAGACGGCAAAGAGCAGAGATAAATGTAAAAACAAAGAGGCTCACAGATGGGAGGCTGCTACAACTTGCAATTTGAGGATCCCGCGATCAAAGCAAACACTACAACTAGCACGCTAATCTGCTAGCATGTTTTCACTGGTTGCTGAATGAACTATTAGGCTGTTATCTAATAGAATACAATAACATGGGTATGGTTATTATTATTTTCAAAAAAGGCGCAATCGACACATTTTAGCACAAACAAAGGATCCAACTGATCCGTCACCCTGCAGGTCATAGCAGCCCTTTGAGATTCTCTCTTAACGGGAAGATTTACAAACCTTGACCCATTGGTTTCATCGCTTTGTTCACGTTACGCACAGTAGCCTAAGTGATACAGTAACAAAAAACCTTAAATATATTTTCTTTTCTGACCGATTTTCTAAAGGGTAAAACTAACTGTAGATGGGTAATGTAGTTGTATAGAGACAACTCACGCCATCTGATAACACTGTTTAAGATCAACTTAATTAAGAAAATAATAGAAAACTCAGCTTAAACACACCCCGTCTAATACCAGTTGTTAAAAACAGCCCTTTGAGTCAAAACAATGTGAATTTTCTGAATATCCTGTGGGCGGTGGAGGAATTATTCCAGCTGATTTGTGTTACATTACACTAGACTACTATTAACCCCGGTTTTTCGGTGCGTCCTTGATTAGAGGGAGTTGAAAATGAGATTACTGGGTCAGCTGAGACAACCCGGCTATTAGGGATTATTGATTAGTTGTTGTTCTTGTCGCAGTTGGACAGCCCATATCATCATGAGGACTATCATCTGAGTGGGCCAGCTGCTAGCAGTACACAAACGTTGCCATGGGGATGGTGTCCAGGGAGACAGCTGTGGCCTTTTAGCAGCAGCCGCACAACACACAGAAGGTCATTCTTCACCTAAGGTACCCTTCGCCGACTGTCCGTCACAGATTGTTTCCAGGCAACCGGTCTAAGGCTTTTTGTTTGTTTGTTTTTCTAGGAAGCCGTCCACCCTCAGTATTTTTTCTTGCCATTTCGGGAGCAAAACAACAAGTGAATTGAAAAAACACACAGAGACAAGAGAATCTAGCCCCATGCAATTCATTCTCAATGATACGACAAGGATTAAATGATAGAGCACTGAGTGGTAGATTTTAGGCATTTACTATTGCCTACAGCAAAACCAAGCACAATTACCTAAGTACAGAGGAATAACATGAAAAAGGAGCTGCAGTTTCATTGATCTGGGTGTGGAAACTTCACTGACATTTCAGCACCTCGTTAGTGACATGGTGAACAGACGTCTATTTACACATCCAACATACGGAGCAAGATAAGCATTCATTTTATGTCTCTAATGGCAACCTGGTGGAAAAACCCTGATGATAACTCCTTTTATACAAGTAATGTTCGAAGATGTTATATAAAAAAACTGAGGATAGCCATAGCATGCTGCTGATAAGTGACTAGATATGTGATGTGTTTTATAATGAAAACGTATATATTGTGCAGTCAGCGCCTGGAAGCCTTCCATTAAAACCATAACTAAATAGCTGGCTAATCAGCCATCTGGTGTGTGTTTTGTAACAGAATCTCTCTTAATCTTTTATCTGTGATAAGATAATCTTTTATCTGTTTATCTGAGTGTTTTCTTCCAGGTTTTACAAAGCTTCTTTTGAAAACTACATTCAGCCAGGCTGTACATTTGATAAGCATCAAGAGCTGTTTATAATTACAGATGTATTTTTACGACATTTTCCTTTACCTAATTAAACTGAACGGAAAAAACTAATTTAGCAGTGGATTGAAAATGTATAGATGTGATTCAGGGACATGTGCTTTGTTTCTTTCAATAGGTGTATGGATGGAGTATATCTGCATGAGCAAGCCCACTCTCATGACTGAGCTTCTCTGAGTCTAACTGAGCCATAGCTGAGTCTGTCTTTGCATGAATGACCATAATGCAGTCTGTGATAGTGTGGCTGTCAGCAGTGACAGCATAAAGACTGCAAGGCACCCAGCTGGACCATCTCCAACAGTATATCCTCGTATACGAAAAACACACACAAACACGCACACACACACATACATAATTACATAACATTATTGAGTTATGTTGCTGACTACAGCATGTTAGCTTTGGTGACAGACGAGGTTTGTGCCAAGGATCTTGGCTGTGAAGATGGACAAAATAACCCACTGTGCAGGTTGTCATAAATCCCTCCATAAACAGAAAGGTGTTAACGTTATCAGATAAAAAGAGAGAACATTCTAAAATGTAAAACATTGTGCTGTGTTTTAAGCGATTTCATGTCATGTAGTGAAAGGAGAGTGCCCAGTGGTTACTGGGAAAGATTTTTACATAATGTTGTTTCTATATGGCTTATTCATCATGTTTGTGTAGTTAACATATATTGACTTATGGAGGCAAAATAATGATAAATAACTTTATCAAATAATTGTTGTTGTTTCGGTCCACACAGGTTTCTCAGATATGAACTCAGGTATGCTTCTATACCAAATGAATGAGCAAAAGGCGACTGCACCCATTCACAGACCAAATGACTGACCGTTTAAGCCTGAGAGCTACACTGAACTAAAAAACTGTGTTTAAACCGTTTGAAAATGCTGACTGCTATAGCATGCAGGTTTTCTCTTTACTAAAACTAATGTCAAGCCATAGAGGATTATAACAGAAGCAGCCATTATGTTATGTCAGTTCCCCTTTGCCAGTCTGTCCACACTCCTGCAAATGGGCGTGTTGCCAAGACAACGACTCGCACACCTTGCCATCGGAGACCACCTGGGGGAGGCCTCCATAGGACTAACCACACAAATGCATGCATGAACATACATAGGGCAAGGAAAACACACATGACCCCCACACACAACACTCCCAAGCACTAAACACACCTAAGCATTTTACACCACATTACACATGCCCACATGTCTGCATAACAGACCAATCAGAGGGAGTATATGTACACAGGCCCATGCGAGTCACACCGCTACCTCTGCGTCCTTGAAGAATAAAAGCTGCAACAGGGACTTGAATAAAGTGAATCACTGAACTCCTTACATACATACTGTCACGATAATCACATCTCAATGTTTTCAATTCAAAAGGAGATTTATATGTACAGTATATACCCATGGGCAGGCAAAAATACATGTATTTCAAAATGTTTATAGTAAAAGAGGGTGAGGGACGAGATTGTGTTCTTCAGAGAAAAAAAAGAGAAAAGTGTGGTGGTGGGAGTGGAAAGTTTACCAGTTTCCTATACTGCTGTTTCTCTTGGCGTAGCGTGGCAACCTCAAGCCTGAGAGCTCTGTTTCTCTCCTCCAGCAGTCGAAAACGGCTCACATTGTGGACCAAGTGTCCCGTAGCTTGCTGGGAGGAAACTTCATATCTACTCTGCAAGAAAAAAAGATGAAAAATTACTGATATTTGAATTTTTGGGTATAATACTGTTCTTAGCATTAAGCTTAGCTCTGCCTTAAAACATCATACAACCATGCTTAATGACAATTCATACATGCTGATGCTAAACTTAGCACTTATCATACTCACTATGGTAGATTTGCAGGTAAGCATTATATTATTTGCCAAAAAGCAAGAACTGCTGGATTTAAGGTAATTAAAATGTATAATTCATTTTTCATTCATCCTTAGTGAAACAAAAGTAAGACCAGTTTTCATGGCAAACAATTTCATTCAAACACATAAATGTGAACCTACATTTTAAAACTAGGGGATGATACATAATTTATAGGGCAACCTCTCAATAAGATGTGGCTATATTTGACTGGATACATAAAACACTAGCTTGTGGAAAAAGCCACAGGCTATCTAAAATACTTTGTATCACTTATCAGGGCTCCATATATATCTGTACCAAAATCACTAGGCAATCCATCCAATAGATGTTGAGGTAATTTAGTCCACACCAAAGGTGGTTCAGAAGACGAACACACAGGCAACAATGTAACATCAGGAGCAAAGGAGCACACGATTAATAAAAGTTATGAAAGAGGACATAGGTTGGCTGTCAATCTTGCTTACAGTGATGTGCTCGGGCTTTAGTTCCATCTCGTGGGGTCAGTCACGGGAAAAGGATTACCAAGCCTGAAAATGAAGCTGCTACTGCAACAGGTTTTGAGGCTCAGCAGGATTTGCCAGTCAGTGTTTTTCTCCTTAGAAGTTTTCTTGATGGGTTAGAATGGCCTTTGAAAGTGAATTTTCACTCTGACGCTTGAACCCTCCATGGAAATAAACTGCATATCTGTAATAGGCAGTCTGGAAGCTTCTATTGGGGTCTGTGAACAGTTTCTTGTCAGTTTTCCCTAGCAGGGCAAATATTTGTACAATTTGATGGAACTTCGTTTTAGCTTTAGCAATTGTCTTGTTTTGGAAAATAACTGCTCTGCTGTCAATCTTGTATTCAAAAAAAAATATTCCAATCACTTTGAGGCCACCAGAGGGGCTGCAGATAGAGGAACTGAGCAGCTGTTTTGCTGAGGCAAGTGGGAAGTCGATTTAGGATAAATCCGTGTAAACTCTGCCTGTGGCTCCTGAAATTAAACACCCTCCAAGGATGTACTGCTTTCATTTGGTCCGTATTCTTTTCTATGAATTTAACTAAACATTTGATTCGATGTTCTGCTCCAAAATCTCTGCTTTTAGTAATACAAATGTATGAAATGGGAATATTTTGGAGGGCAACCATCTGAAATCCCAAACGGGGTGTTGTCCTCCCATTTGCCTCCTGAAAAACCACACTTAGCCAGCCTAGCCACTCCAATACTACCAAAGCTATACAAAGGGAATACATTACCACCAACTGAAAGATGATTTTTCTCTATCCCTCTAAAATTCAAATGACATATTTCCCATTAGGAGAATAAAAAAGGGTACCAATATCATCGCATTGTTCATTTTGAGCTCTTTTTCATTGTTGGGACCCCATAACAGACCAAACAACAGATGGTTCTAATATCAGTTTATATTACTCTGATATATCAATTAGCATGTTAGCAGAGTGTTTGGTATCTTGTCAGGCACACAAAAGCACTTGCACACACATAAATAACAACCAGATCCCCTGACTGCAGGCCAGACTTTCATACACCACAAACAAATAAAAAAAACAAAGTTGCAAGCAATATGTCTGATAACACAGACAGCCAAAGGCTCCAAAGCCAGTATGATGGAGCTGCCAGGCAGACAGAAAGACAGCCAGATACTGTACACCTGCTAATGCAGCAGACCTGCCAAGCACACAAGCATGCAGATAGAGCCACCAGTGTGATGTTGTGGACTCTCCAAGAACAGACAGAGAGAGAGATAGACCTGCCAACCAGGACTGTGTGTTTTCCAAACAAACAGGCAGACTAACACATTCAGTCAGCCTATTCAGAGTGAGATATTAGGCCATATGGACATCCATGTGAAGTGATTTGAGTCATTTAGACCAGAAAAAAACACTAGGGCAAAGCATGAATGGTTATCACTATGGTAACCTGACAACATGTGGTTATTAGAAAATTACAAAAATGACTTGTAGTTGACTGGACTCTGGAGCAGGTAATGGTACACATCCATGCTTATCAGTGCCAGGTTGAGATATCTAATGGCGACATGATAAGTTGAGCCCCAAATCAGTCACTCAGGCAGAAGCTGTGACCAGTAGCAGGTCGGGCAGCGTCCAATTGTGACGTCCACTTGGGAGACATCATCCCTGCAACGAGGGAGCTGCTGAAGCTGCTCCGACTGGAGTTCTTTCAGAGTGGGGAATCATGACGCACTCATGTGCTCTGGGGCCACAGGAAGTACTGACAACATCTTCTGCTAAATGTGAGCTGGGAGGGGAGGAATTCAAAAAGGGACATATACTGAGCCATGCATCCACTCCCAAAGATGTGTTGTCATACAAACACTTTCTGAGTGCCAGTCTTTTCAATCCAGTGTGGATGAACAAGTAGGACACTGCATCACATAAGAAAAGTTCAAACTATTATATCACTGGTGACCATACGATACCAAAGACTCTTCCATTTCATAACACTAAAGAGGGTTCCCTGTTCGCCTGGTTTATGGTGTTAGCAGGCTGCGTTTTCTTCTTGGGTTTCATGGACAAACTTACTCGTTACATTTTTGGGGGGGTTTTGTCCATTTCACAAGTTGCTCTTATCCAAGCAAAGCACGGTATTTCCTTTCAATGTGTTTTAATCTAATTGAGTAAAGCTTGTACATGCCAAGGGGTGAGTTACAGGTAAAACATTAAATGAGCCATAAAGGTGTTTTTTGTTTAGTCTTTTTGAAAGGGAGGGTTGAGGCAGCAGAATTGCCTAACTGACTTGCAAACCTGCTCTGAAGCAATCTCGACTACCAAAAGCGTTGTGATTTTTTTTTCTTGATATAACCTCTGGTCAGTGTGCTTAGTCTCTCCTATCCCATCATTTATAATTCCAGCGCTCAGAGGAAGTCTACAATGTTGTACATTTTCCCACGTATTGCCCAATGACTTGCATACCACTGATGACAACACCATGTTGCGTACACTGTGAATAGATTATCCATTTAAAACTGATGATTTGGAGGCGGGGGTTACTTTATTAAGCAATTTTCAATCATTTGGGTGGTTATTAAGATGTTACATGTATACTTATGCAATATGGGCTTTTTAGCACTTTATGCTGTGTACAGTTAGGCTTCTTCCACTTTTTAAGTAAATAAAAGCAACTTCTTTTTTATTTTTTTATTCATCATGGACACCAATAAACACGTGTGTATTATGCAATGATTCACTTCATAATTTCCTGAGATTTGTATGGTATTTCTGCTTTGTTGGATGACTTATGGTGGAGGGCCACAGGAGAAAGGACAATGATAGCAGCATGTGGTGGCTGGCTTTGACCCAATGGCATTGTGGTTAAATGGCATGTGCTCAGCCAACAACTCGACATCCCAACGTAATCTTATTTTGACTAGGCGTGATTTAAATAGATTGCCATACCGCCATCTGGTGTGCAAGTGAATTACTTGCATCAGTGCAGCAGTCAGCCATGTATGTACAGCTATTGACCTGTTAATAAACAGATTTAAAAAGAAAATCAGTTTAAGCCCATCAAACTACTCCTATTCAGAATTAGTGATGTTACAAATGTGGTACTCTTTAATGGATTTAGACAGATTGTAAAAAATCTAGAGTCAACCAGATAGGAGAAAAATGATTGCCAATCATTCTACTCCTCATAAAGAATACATGTTATCTCTGCTGTTTTACAATGAATTACATCTCTAAGAAACACAGCAGCATGCAGAGCATTGTATTGTATTGTGTTTTTGGATGAAGAAAAGCAACAGTATCATACAGTCTAAAAAAGGGGATGTAGACAGCAGTGTGTCAAAACAGGTATGTTTTTGCTGACACAAATAGAGACAATGCCCCTACCTTAAAGGCAATACCCTTTTTGTCCAAAAATGAATCTCTTCCCTTCCGGTCACATCCCAAACTGGCAGTGAAGGCGGAGGTGCTGCATCCATGCGTATGCACGTGTATGCCGGTGCTGGAGTGCCTGGAGTTGCAATGAGCGTTTCTGATCTGCAGCTTTAACAGCTCTGCGGTTTGTATGGCACTGTAACAGGCTGGAAGTCTCTCCCTTACAGTGATGGCAAAAAGAGCTACAGTAGCTCGGCACCCTCAGAGAAAACAGTCCCCGAGTCCCACCCTGAATGTGTTAACGCTTCCTCTTGCGCCCTCTGCTCCTTCCTCAAGTCGGGCTTTGACATTCCGCTCCCTTCTTTTTCGCTGCTTCTCGCTTATGCGCAGACATGTGCACGCCCTGTCCAACTGACCCAAAACGTCACATGCAAAAAATAAAATACATGCAGGCAAGCTTTCCTTTGAATGGATTGTGGGAATCTGTTGAGCAGTGATGTGTAAATCATTACATCAGAGTTTATTTTCTCTGATAACATTTACTAAGCAAAGCAGATCACAGTCCAGCATCCACTTATCTCCTCTGCATCTTACAGAAGATAATGGTTTTCTGTTTTTACTGATAGAAGCAACAATGCATACCTCGCTCCATCCTACATTTATACACATATCGTATTATACTGTCTCATATTTTCACTATGTTTAAGGCATTCCTTGTTATTGATACCTATAACTTTCCTCCAGCATCAATCAAATGTTTACTATCATGTTCCTGGAGAGACCTTCAGATAAACCCATCTCTGTTCTCTCTTCACCTCTCCTGCATCCCTGGTCAGAGGACTCAAATTGAATCTGTGTGGTGTTTGAGTGGGGTAGCATCAGCATCGTGCACTCAATGTACTCAGTGGATATGCGTTTAACACTGTGGACGGGGGCACAGGACAGTGAAGAGGACAGAAAGAAAAGAGACACCAAGTGTGCGTGAGTGAGGAGAGAAAGCACAACGTACGCTCTGTCCCACTCTGTTGCCTAGCAACACTTGCTGTTCCCATGCTTACTGTAGACTCATTACTCTCGTAGTGAATTGGTTTTCGAGCATGACATGGAGCCATGTGAAACCAGGGTTTGCGCCTGGATGGAAACTGGATGAGGCAGAAATGACCCCTTCAAATAACTGATGAATGTGTTATTTTACTAATAAAACAGGCTGCCACCTCTAACACAGCTAGGGTTCTTTATTGACTTGGTGAATATACAGATGTCACGTCAATTTGAGAAGTATGCGGTTCTCTTTTGGCCATATGAAGGGGGGGAATCCTGGAATTGTGTATTTTGATAAACACTTTTTTATGGCACGTTTTACACAATCACATTTTCCAGCAACATTACAGAAATACAGTTTCAAAGAAAAATAATTAGGAGTTGTATTGCTATTGTATTGTGTGTACATCTCTAATTAAAATGGTTGCAGTAAAAGTATAGAAAGCATGTGACAGTCGTTCCTTTTGGGCTGCAGACCTGAATCCTAAAATGCTATGCCAGTTGCCAACAAGACTACCAAAACATAATACAGAACGATTTAAAACACACAACAGGGGACAGGTGTGCATTTGTTAGGGTCGGATGAGGTGAAAGATTACTGAAAACGGATTTGTGGTCAAAAACCCCAAACTGTCTACTATACAAATGTAAAGACGGGAGGACATTCAGTAATAACAATGATGATCATGTTTGAAAACATCATTTTGATGCATTTGTAATAGCATGATTTAGAAAAATCTCATTCGAGTTATAAGATATTCAAATCAGGCTTAGCTTTCACAACATTTTTTATTATTTTAATAAGCTTGCTACACTGAGTGGCAATGTACGATGATGTCCAAAAATGTACGTCAAATGCAGAACTCCATAATTGTTTATTTGTATAAAAGCATTTATAATTGTAGATATCTTTCTCAATTGGGAAAATGTGTAATGCATGACTGAGCTATCCGTTTTTCTATCTTTGCTTAAACCAATCTTAAGACCGTTTAAATAAAGGATTAAATAAATCATGTGTATCCACATTGACGCATTTTGATTATCTTTATGATTAGGGTGAGCAGATGTTCCTTTTTTCTAAAGACAGTCTATTAATGTGATCTTCTCCTCGGAAGTGGACCAATAACCGTGGTTTATGTTACATTAACAGGACCTTTTTTATCATGGCAAGAAAATAAACTCTTATAGACAAGATCATCATTAGAGGGCATATTTCCCCTCCTGAAGTTTTTCCGTGTCGTAGTAACACAGGCCTGCAGAGTGTGTTAGCACAGTACCTTGCACTTAGCCAGTAGGTGATGATTGTGTTTGTTTCTGGCACCGATGATAGCCAGCTGTCTCTGGATCCACTGCAACTCCATCTGAGACCGCCTCAGCCGCTCCTCCACGTTCGCACCGGACGTGTGATCCCGCATTATCACCTGCCAAACACACACAACCAGATTACACATCCTGAAGCCACACACACAAACCTCACATCTCCACACACACGAAAACCAAAACAGAACCTTTGTACACACAAACACTCAGTATTTATATCCAGTCCATCTTAATTGCTTAATGAGTGTTTCAGATTCATACTTTTACTTTTGTAAAACAACTGGACTTCTGCACGTATTTGTTATACTTTTTCAATTATAGCTATACTTTTTTCCTTAATGTACTTCATTACAATAGCCAATTAAAGTATTTATTACTTGACATCAAAATCAGTTTTAACATGCATTTGATATTTTTCAATGGGATTTAGATTTGTTTCCCCACAATCTTCTGCCCTTTTATTTCGGTAGGCTACCATCAAAGCAAAAAATCCATCAAGCAAAAATGTTTTCATTTACAAAATCGCCAGCATCTCAAACTAAATGTAAGAATGAACATTGTTTATAACAAAGGCAAAGTTTATCATTCACAGAATAATTATTATTTAATTATTCCAAGCAGGAACTCTAGAAAAACAAAACAAATCGACTAGACAAACAAAACACTTCTCTGGCACAATTCCTTCCACTTCTTTTATTAAATTACATAATCTGTTTGTTAGTGTAAGTATACAACTAATTCCTGACAGCAATATTTTCCATTCCAACATGCTGCCCCATGCATTAGTAGGTACTGCCTGGTGATTGATAAATACATGTCTGTGTCCATGAGTATGAGTGTTCAGTGAGAGAAAGAGAGAGCCTCTCAGTTACATGAGAGGATTACTGTATCACAACAACACAATGACAGGGGGAGTGTGGAAAAAGCATCAGATTTGATCAGTCACTGCTAAATCCCCTTCTACGCATGTTGTGTCCACACACACACACACACACACACACACACACACACACACACACACACACACACACACACACACACACACACACACACACACACACACACACACACACACACACACACACACACACACACACACACACACACACACACACACACACACACACACACACACACACACACTACGTACTACGTACGTACGTACGTACGTACTACTACGTACGTACGTACGTACGTACGTACGTACGTACGTACGTACGTACGTACGTACGTACGTACGTACGTACGTACGTACGTACGTACGTACGTACGTACGTACGTACGTACGTACGTACGTACGTACGTACGTACGTACGTACGTACGTACGTACGTACGTACGTACGTACGTACGTACGTACGTACGTACGTACGTACGTACGTACGTACGTACGTACGTACGTACGTAGTACGTACGTACGTACGTACGTACGTACGTACGTACGTACGTACGTACGTACGTACGTACGTACGTACGTACGTAGTACGTACGTACGTAGTACGTACGTACGTACGTACGTACGTACGTACGTACGTACGTAGTAGTAGTACGTAGTATACGTAGTATACTACGTAGTAGTAGTAGTAGTAGTAGTAGTAGTAGTAGTAGTAGNGATTACTGTATCACAACAACACAATGACAGGGGGAGTGTGGAAAAAGCATCAGATTTTATCAGTCACTGCTAAATCCCCTTCTACGCATGTTGTGTCCACACACACACACACACACACACACACACACACACACACACACACACACACACACACACACACACACACACACACACACACACACAGGAATGTAGCATTCAGTGACCAGTTTGTGCAGTTAACACCAGAAGGTTAAGAAGGTTAATGCTGCTCGTACCCCAGGAGATTTGACTTAGAGTCTACTGCTGCATCATAATAAAAAACTCAAACCACTGATATCAGTCATCTGTGGTCCTCTTTTAGACTAGTGCACTGGAATAAAAAGGAACTTCAAAACAAGATCAGACAAAAACACAACTTTGTACCTCGATACTATCAACAAAGTGTCAATAACTAATGCACCAAGAAATACAAGTTGTTTGTTTTCATACAGCAGCATACAAAAACAAATGCATCCATCTTCCCCTGTCTCTCTCAGAGCTCCAGCCAATTGCTCAAAAAGCTTTCCGTGCTGACTCACCTTGGACAGCTTTCATTTCCTCGCAGGGGATAGGAGGAGGAGGACAGACACAACAAAAATCAACAACACAAAGCTCAGGAGTGCTGTAGATTTATGCAGAAATGTCCCATCCTGGCAAACCATCTATGAACCTGCAGTGGTAAGCATCTTTTGAACAGATTTATCAAGTTGAGAGGAGGGTGCAGTGCGTACATCATTATCCGGCCTGATGGGGTTTTTCATTTGCCAGTTTCCTATTAATTCCTTCAGCCCATTACAATGATTGAGTTCCTGTTATCTCTGTTGTTCTTAGTATGTCTTATATCTACATCTAAAGAAAGAAATACATAACTTTTGTAACATCATATAGTTATAGCTTACCATATAGGCCATATAACCATATAGAAAAGTAGCTTAAAAAATAGTTTGGGATCTGTGCTCCAAGTTGAATGCACTTTGTCCGCAGTATAGTCCGGGAGAACTTTATCAGACGAAACAAGGTTCATCCAAAAATCAGGCTTTGGCTCCCGGACTAGTAGAGAAGCATCAGCAAATGGAGAATAACAGCAGTTTACATCAGTTAAAAATGACAAAAGGTAAATCTAGGGATATGATGAGACTCCTGAAAATCAACCCTACATGTTTAGAAAACATATGTATACACATTGCATACATTGCGATAGTTTTTGGTGTGTGCAGGACACGTAAATTATTGCAAATTACTTTAAAAGGTTGTTACCCATTCAAGTGACGCTCGTCGGTTTCTCTCATCCTCTTCACAGTGACCTTCTGTTCTGCTGGTTTTTCAAACCAGTTTCCCAGTTTTGGAAGAGTTTAATGCCATTTATTTGCCTTTTATTCCTCTATAACGATACTCCTTTGAAGAAAATAAAAACATAGATAAAGACTCCAACACTTAAACGGAAACCTACAAGAATGCAGCTCTCACTGCACTAAATTAACAATGAAAAGTGTTTCCTCTTTAGCATCCCAACCAACGTAGGCTGCGTGCTTTGGACAGCCGTTCCCTGATATGAGTTGCTTTTTTCAAACAGTTATGATTCAGTTTCCTCTCACAATGTTCTTGTCCCAGAGGCTACCTGCTGTGTGTCCATATGGCACACTTCACAAGAGGGTGGAACATGAACAGGAGAGGGAAAAGAGCAAATAAGGCTAACCTCTTACCTGTACGAACGACGAGGCCTTATGTTGCGTGCTTAACGTTAGCATACACTTATCCGTAAACTAGGGAAATATTTGTAAAATTGAAAGCTCCTAAACACACACGTTCACAACAACAAAAATGTCCCAACCTGGGAACAATAAAGTATATCTTATCTTAGTGGTCAATCCGCACATCACGTGCTGCCACTCAGAGCATGGCTCGCCTACCTATTTCCTGGCTAAGCAATCAACCTGGATAATTGAAAACACTTTTGCAGTTGTGCAGGGCCTTTAAAGCTACATTTAGCCACTTTTCTTTAGATAAGGTTAGACAGGTGGGCAAAAAAAATTCAAATTATGTATTGTTTCTGGCCACCTAATATGTAGAAATCCGATATTAGGCTGAATTGCTTAGTGGTGTTATAGCAAAGACAAATGGACATCTGCAGTAAAAGGACCATAAAAAGTATCTTGAACAGGTAACCAAGCACCAAAGTGCTGCACAGTTGGATGGTTAGAGTCAAGTCAATTATATCTATAAAGCAGAATACCCCAAATTTGCCTCAAGGGGCTTTATTATCTCTTCAGTTTAAGACATATTTTGTCCATTGACTCTTGATTCAATAAGATAATAAGAAAACCAGACCCCACCCACCCACATTATCAATGACCACATTGGCCAAACAACAAAGAAATATGATTACAACCAGTTCATATATGTAATATACAAGTCATTAAATACATATCCAAGAGATTTCTTTAAAGCATTTGATTTATTTACCATGAGCTTTGAGATTGTTTTAATGGTGTACAAAAGTTACACATCAACGATCATGGACAAAACCCCAGATCAAATGTATTTATGTTGTTCGTCCTGGTGCAGCTGCTGAACATGGTCTTGTGGAGTCTTGTTCATGCTTCCTGGTCCCAGAAATGAATATCATCCTCTGAATACAGCTCCTTGTATCAAATGTGTTTCAATCCAGACAGAAGTGCTGTCCTAACACATTTCCCCCTCCTTTTAGCAACTCTGTGGCAATTTCAAACTCCAGTGGGATGTTCTTGATCTGAGACTTCTTCAGGTCTCTTTCCATCAGCTGAGGATGAGAACATGGGACACATTACTCATGCTATTCAGATAACCATAAGTATATGATGAGTGTTAGCAACATAGTTAACTTCCATTGAGTTGCACTTATCAAGATGATGTCATTGTTATCCTTAAGTTTGGAATACGTCACCTCGTGTGTTGTTATTTCCAGCACCTCGTCGATGTCGTCCTCTTTTCCTGACAGAGGTGTGTTGATCGCCATAGCAGCTTTGGCCACATCTGGATGATAATGCTTCTGCAGTGTCTGTAGAGAAAGAGAGGGAAATAATGTAAACTTCCAATTTGAATTAAGTCAGCTTTTATTAGCTTTCTGAATATGATATTTATCTCCTTTAAATCCACATGACAAGAACCTTGGCTGACACTAGTCATAGCTCAGTGTTAGTCAGGGTCATGCAATATTCATTAGTGAATCCAAAATCATTACTTGCTGAACACACCTTAATCTCCCACAAGCTGCTCTCTAAGGCACGACACTGAACCGGGTCCTCTTCATCCATCAGGTAGGGGTCTTCCAAAACCTCTGTCATTATGAATGGAAGCATACATCAGTTATGTCCTCGTATTGTAGAAGAACATTAAATGTCACAACAAAATGATTTCAATTGGTATTAAATATAAGGAACTGGACTGCAAATCTGAAACCCCTGACATTTTGTCTGGTTATAAACAAATGAAATTCCAACCACAGGCTTGAGATTGAGTGGCACTCACCGCCTTCCGTGGTGGGCTTGTGAATCAGGACTCTGCAGGATGGGTGGCGGCGGATTAGGTTGTAGATGAAGGGCAGCACGATGAGGAGTGCTGTGGGCGGAGCTGTGAGAGCCAGACGAGCCAAGCGTTTGGCGAACGCAGCCACTAGGTACACTGGCAAGTGACTGGAGGAAATCAAACACATAAATGTAACTAATGCCATATGTACTTTTTGAGTTTTTATGGTGCTAATCTAAAATGCGGTGTAGCACAGTATTAGTTTACCAGTTTAAATATCCCAGCTACCGTTTTAATCACAAAACAAACAACTATAGCTGGTTAAAATGAGGGTAAAAAAAACTAAATGTTTAGTTATGGATAACTGATCTTACCTGGAGCTAAGGAAGATGTTAGCTAGGTGGAAAAAGCGCGCTCTGTACTTCACGTGGAAAACAGAAGGCTCAAGCAGATTATACAACTTCTTGTAGAAATCTGGGTAATCTCTGCAAAAGAAAAACACACACAGCGTATATACTACTTTATTAATGTCATTCAAAAACACCACAATTCTTCTACATTCTTCCACAGTAATGACATTTACATGTCTAATATGTGTAATATGTAATTATAAAGCGCTTTGAGCACCTCTAAAAGCGTTCTAATAAAAAATGTAATGCATTATTATTATTATTACATTACTGTGATTAATGTGAATTTGCCAAATCCTATACCATTACATTCAATACTCACAGGTTGTGTTGATGTATGAGGACAAAGAGGCCATTGAGGGCCAGCAGGCTGATAGCCCCACCTGTTAAAAACAAAAATATCATATAGTTATTACTATCAAAACCCTATAGAAATTTGAGTCAAGTATCAAGACATAAAAATGCAATTTTAGTTAAATTAAAGTAGTTGTAGTCTCCACATTGAATTTGACAACTTACCGACTTCATAGGCAGCAGTCAAGAAGTCAATCATCAGTGTGGGTTTACTCATGTGGGGCAAGATTGAGTCATGGAGGATCACCAAGATCTTTTTATACATGTTACTTGGCAACTACAACAGAGAGATGAGATGGCTGTGTCAGAGAGGTGTACATGGAAGAATACATTTTGATAATTAAAAAAAATACATGACTGTGCAAGAGTTTTACAATACCTTATACTTGAGAAAGCCCAGCCACATCCTCTCAAAGACGCGCTTGTGTTCCTGCAATGAACATTTAAAGTGATATTTAAAAAATAATTTGGGTTAGTTATGTGACTGTCTGGATCAAGTTATTTTACTTACATTCAGTTTAGCTGCTTTCCAGTCCTCATGCTTATCTGAAGAAAAAAACATCGGTTTAATGACCTGTGGCTGTGAGGGAGTGTGGTCGTCTTTCAACCAGAAGGTTGTGGGTTCGATCCCAGCCCATGCAGTCAACATGTCGATGTATCCTTGGGCAAGATACTTAACCCTGAGTTGCTCCCGATGGCATGGCCAACGGTGTGTGAATGTGTGTGAATGTTAGGTCCTAGAGTAAGGTACACTGCTCTGTATGAATGGGTGTGAATGGTTGAATGACATGTAGTATGTAAAGCGCTTTGAGGGGTCTTAAAGACTGGATAAAGCGCTATATAAGTACAGTCCATTTACCATTTACCAACCTCACATTCAAAACAAACAGTGGATCATCAGCAAAGAATAATCTCTTTCTACAGCATTGCCATTTCTCACCTTCTTGTTGGACCATAAAGTTAGTGAGCTCCGACTCCTGGCTTGGTATACTGATGTTGGACATGAGCGTGAACACATTGTTCTGAAATATGGGCAACAATGCCTGAGAGGAACGAGACAACAGCATTTAACATACCAAGTAATGATAACATAGTAAAAAGCGTCACAATAAAAGCAAAATCAAGGACGTCTACGGCAGATTGGCTTAGTACTGAAACATTTCTCTTACCCCTTTGTTTTTGTCCATGACTTTGCCCACATTCTCGCGGATGGAGCTCATGACATAATAGCGCACATCCTCCATCTCCACGAACTCCTGGAATCTGGAGATCAGCAGGGAGTTGTCTGTAGTTTTGGACAGCAGTCTGTCCACCACTGACTGAAATGATAACACAAATATCAGAAGGCTTATGATGAAAAGGATGATGTTTTTTAAAGCCTTTTGAAGAAACAGCTTTATTTATTTTCTATGCAAATTACATGGAAGAACAGATAATGGGTAATAGTATTCCACCACCTATATTTTGTGTCACAATATTTTACCTGGAGGAGTTCTCTTGGGAAGCTGTAGTGCTCAGTCCAGTCCAAGTCCTCAAGAGGATGCTTTCCTTCTGCTGCAGCAAACTTCATCAGGCAGCACAGGGCAGTCTCCTGTATTCAGAGAATAAAAAACAGAAAACTTGATTTCTTTCCACCTGTACTTTCTCGGTGATAAATATAAGAAAATAACCATGGGAGCTGTAAGAAGAAACCTTGCTACACACATCTCATTGTGCTTTTCACTTTAATCTGATCCCTCTCTTATGCGTTAGTCTTGAGTAAATATGTGACTAAAATAATTAACAAAAATAGGGACCCCTACTGCAGTGTCTGGTCAACTAATTGTTTTATTTAAAGCAGCACAAGTCTTTGTCAAGTCTGTGTGGGCACCGTTTCCAACTCACCTGGACTCCGAGGAGATCATGGCTAAGGTGCTCCAGCAGCAGCTCCACACAGCTGTTGTAACGGTGTCGCATGAACATTTGGTACTTTTCTTCAGCACTACTCTCTCCTGAACCAGGAAGCAAACAGACAGACACAATTATTTTTGAAACTGTAATGGGAGTCTGTAATTGTGTCATTTCATATGTACAGACCCAGATCAGCAGCTACAGAATGAAACATGCTTATATCCACATCATTAGTAGCTTTGGCGTTAATTATGATGCATTTTCAGCCTGTACTCACCACTCACTGCCTCCTCTTCTCCAGGCAGTTTTCCCAAAAACAGCTCTTTCTT